ATACACATAATATCTTAATTGCATATCCATAATACGTTCATTGTAGTAGACACGTAATTTATTAACTAAATATACATAATATGTTAATTGCAAACACATAATTTGAATGTCATTTTGAACAAGGATCTACAATGCAAGGTGGACATGATCCATGGTGATGGGTAAATACGCACTTGGACTGTTTGTAGGATCGCTATCTCTGCTATTCGTGGCCAACTGCGTTGCTCGTGTTGAAGATTGGAAAGCCTAGTGATGGGAAAAGAAGCTCTAGGATTACCCCTGAGGTCATCCAGCCAACAGAGTGCCACTCGGTCAGTCTGCTACGTGACCCACTTTGCAAATTGGAGATCTTAGCTTATGCTACAAGTAAAGAAGGTCCATTTGTGCCTGTAGGAAGGGTAACTGGCGTTGTGCGGGGGAATGATGACTCTGTTGCCCGGATGTCGATATACGGCTAGTTGTAGAACAACCGACTCACCTGACCAATAGAGCGTGCCACGTCAAGCCACCGGCATCTGGAGCATGCTTAGCCATCTAACTTAGTATAAATGGGGGGGGGGGGGGGGGGGGGGTGTTCTCCCCTTAGTTGTCTTATTCACGATATTGTAACACTACACCACTTGTAATTGTCTTCTACTTTGTAATACAACATAAGCCTTAGTCCATTCAACACTCCACCTGACAAACCGACTAACAGTCTAACTGACTGACTAAACATTGTTTTACTTGTTCACTATATATGTATTTGTAGTTTAATTGCGACTGTCAGTCCAATTTACGCTATCACATGGTATAACAATTGCTGAATTGCGTCAAGAGTCCTAGGAAGGCTAGATCAAGCTGATTTAATTTGGTCAACTACTACCACCTACAATGAGCTGAGACAAGCAACAAGCTAGACTTGCAAGAGATTCGACAATCAATTGAATTCTACCACTGTTGATGTTGATCAATGAGAAACTCATGTAAGATTTACAGTGGTTATCTTCAGTCACATAATGACTAAAGATTCCTACCATCCTCATCATTTGTAGTAACGGATGTTACTTTCTCTTTATTTACTTTACTCTCATAATTACTATCAGTGTAACAGTGCTTGTAGTTATTATATTTAGATTACTAGTCTAGTAGGTTTTCATGCTCATAAACAACTCCATCTTATATAAAATACTAGTTTTTCTACGGGCTTTGCGCGAATATGATAATGCACAATACTTATTTTTAAATAAGTATTTCAAAGTATATCAATGCAATATTATATAGAAGATGTTCATGAATAGGTAATTAAATCAGTAATTTAAAGTATATAAATGCAAGATAATATATGAGAGATTGATTATATATAACTGTCACAAAAATAAATGTTTGCAACTTTGTAATAACACTAATCTAAGTACTAAGTCTAAAAGCGATAGTCTAAGTAAATACTCTTTTTGGTTTAAATTTTTCTAATTCTCTTTTGGGTAGCATTGTTATTGTTTCCATCTTCAGTATCGTATATGTCCTTTTTTTTTTTTGTTATTGGTAGTCTGTCATGTGCAATTGGGTTATTTGTAGTATCATAGAGGGATTCATCATACAATGAGATTATGGTGTATGAAGTTTTAGATTTGTCTTGTTGTGTATATGACTGGATCTTAGTTGTGCTATGAACTCTTTATCTTACAAGCACATGTTGATAGCTAGACATCTAATTCTAAATTAATTAAATGTATATGTATTATTTTTTGTTGTAGCTACTAATTTATTTTTAAATTTAAGTAATAAGAGCAATAAAGTGGGCAAATTATGCTGTGGAACCGTATTCACCTTGCAAGGTGGACACGATTCCAAAACTGTTCATAATTATGAATATATAGTTCAAAAATTATGAACATATAGTTCTATAATTATGAACATAGAGTTGTGAACATAATTATGAATATATAGTTTTGTAATTATGAATATAGAGATTCAATAATTGTGAATATGAAGTTAAAAAATTATGAATATATACCTTTATAATTATGAACATAGAGTTCTGTAATTGCGAATATAGAGTTCAATAATTATGAATATGAAGTTCAAAAATTATGAATATATAGCTTTATAATTATAAACATATAGTTCAGTAATTATGAACATAGAACTGTGTAGTCCACATTGCAAAATGCAAGGTGTACACAGTTCCACAACATAATGATTGAATAAAATGGCATGCATACTTTTCATCCACAATAATGAAATCATTGATTTTTTTTTTTTAAATTTTCATTCGTTGTTGAAACAAATTGTTTTGAGAGTTTGTCAATGACAATTGATGTCAATAGATGATGATAATAAATAATTCAAAATATAAGGTTACAATAGATATTATTATAATAATATAGTAAAAATTAAGTTACAAATTTATTTAGAAGTTTTCATGCGTTAATAAAAGCATAATTGAAATATTAAGTTTTGTTCTCAATAATCAAAAGAAGCTTAATTAAATTGAAAAAAAAAAACTGAACTTAAATTTATTTTTTAATTAAAAAATTAAATAATTTTCAAAGTTCCAGATTTATAATCATTGAATGCTATGTATTTAGTCGGACTAATTATTTGACCAAAGTTTATATTAAATATTATATTATATTTTTTAATATATTCTAACATATTTGTAGTATATGTTCAACAATTATGCTAACTCTAATTGGAATGAGGTTCAAACTCAAGACCTTTCTTATAGAAATTAATGAATAAGTTAAGAATAATAAATAGTTAACGAAATATTTCGTTAATAAAGTTTATACTAACGGAATTTAAGGTTATTTAAGGAAAGAAAATAATATAATAAAGAGTAAATAAGGAAAATTATTAAAAAATACTAAAATCAAAATAATATGAACCATTCATTTTAAGAAACAATTAGTACCGACATTTTTTTATTCCAGTTAAGGGCCTGACATTATTCGCTCTTATTAAAATTGTAGACTACACACACATATATGTGGTAAGGTCCTATTAGAACAGTAACATATATGAGAGTAATAAGAATCAATCTTAGTCTTACATCTATAAAAATTCGACAGATCTGACCAGATTTTTTTAAAAAATGTGGTGATATTTTTGTAATTATCATTAATTTCACTATGCAAACATGAATACTTAAATACGCAATCTTTAACAATTGAATATGTAAACCTGGTAAATTTTATAAAATCAACGAAAAAGTTAAATTTTAAATCTAAATCGTAAATGTTAAACCTTAATCAATAAAAAGTGAATAATTAAACCAAATAAAATCAAAAACTCAGTCATGAACTCTAAAATCGAAATCCTAAGTGCAATGCATTTTCGTATTTTTGCAAATGCAATCCTTTAATACTAAATATACAAAATGTTAATACTAATAGTGCAAAATGATTATAGTGCAAAATGTTAATCTAAATGTGCAAATCTGAAAAAGTCTAAAAATTATAAATTTTAGTGTTGAAGTATGTATAATAAAGTTGGTGGTAATTACGAAAGTGCCACCATATTTTTTTTAAATGATATGATCCGTTCGATTATATAAGGTTGAGAGGGTTCTTATTTCTCTCATAAGGACTTGTTCACACACACACACACATATTGAAGAACTACTCGAAGTTGACAACTTTGAACTCAACCTAGTGACAAATTATACCATGAATTAGGGTGCATCTTATATTGTGGACCTTGGTCCAAAACGACGTTATTTTAATTAAATTTCAATTAGTACGTGCATCATCATATTTAATAGCATCATCTTATATTATGTTCATAATATTTGTTTTATATGTCCATAAACATAAATCTTAATATTCATGCATAAACACTAAACTAATGAGGGTGTGTTCAATAATAACTTTTGTAAATTTTTAATGATTCTTAAAATAATAGATTTTAATAATCTTTTAGTGACTTTCATAAAATTGTTATAAACTTTGTAATAGTCTATCAAACTCTATATAAAAAACTTTTATTAACTTTTACAAACTTTTTTTTTTTAAAATTTTAGAAAGTCTATAAAAGTCATTACAATTCTAAATCAAATACATTCTTACTAACTTTCAATAACTTTGATTTTTATTATTTATATAATTTTCTTACAAAAAATGTAATAATAATTTTTATATCTTTATCTTTATATTATTATTATTATTATTATTATTATTATTATTATTATTATTATTATTATTATACAATAGAGCAGAATCTTAACTTTTCCTTCAAAATTGTGAATGAGCTTTGAGAAAATGGGCTGCAGCAATGGGATAAGTTTGACCCAGAAATTTAAGAAATTTTTAAAAAATGTAATTATATATTGGCACAACATTTGTTATATTAAAACTTTTATTTTTTATTAAGTTAGTATATATATATATATATATATATATATATATATATATATATAGTTTGTGCCTAATAAAATAAGTCAAGCACCTTGTGCGCAGATAACACTGATTCTTTTTGATGGAAGATCACAGGATCGAATAGAACAGATATTACCTTGTAATAGAGTAAATAATATTTTAAAATAGGTGAATAAAGGTTAATTGTCGACGGTGTGGGCGTGTGGGCATCTTCTAATAAACTTCCGGGCAAAATACTAAATACCATATGCTCAGCTCGGCCGCCACGCGTTACATTTTACATTCATCCACCGTCACCTTTCAACTTCTACATTCTTTAGTTCCATTGAAAAACATTAAATTTTTCACCCAAGTTGTTTGATTAGTATACTACACTCCGGCCTTGTACCTTAGTTTCCAATTTTACGCGCTTATCATCACAAATATTATTTCATTTGAAATGCTGATAAGAGTAAAATGATGTGTTTTTTTTCTGCAATTTGACTAAAAATGTTGGTAATTTGTGTGGACTTTCCAGGCAATTAAGACCCAGACCCAAGCCATTAATTGGGTGCATATATATAAACAATGGCCGTTAGTTAAGATCTTACAAACTCATAGATTTGGCTACAAATTTTGTTGATATATGTGAGTTTGGCCATCATTTTGATTGAATATAATGAAGCGAAGCGAAGCTGATGGAGATTATGAGGGGTCTGAAAGTTCAGCCCCCGCATCTAAACGTCGGAATCACTTTACAACGTGAGAAGATCGATGAATGTCGTGTTTTCTTGGACTGTTATTCGGTGAATTTAATGTTGTTTCCTGTATGTGCAGGTTGATCAATGAGCTTGGTCTCAAGTTGGAACCAAACTTTCGACGCTGGGTATAAAGATAATATAATAATCATCTTTGCTTATCTTTTGAAAAATGTTGTCTCTGCAATTCCTAATTTTCCATACTATGTTTACTGGTAGGTGCGGGAGGAGGTAGAGAAGGCGGTCCACTCATACTTGAGGTAATAGAGTCTGCTTATTTTGAAATTTAATAGATTCCGTTTCAAAATAAGCTATTATTTTAAGATTTTCATGTTTGCAACTTAAAATAAATTATAAGCTCTAAAATAAGTTTTACCAGACATAATCATAGTTTTATAACTGCTGTGTCTTAGAAGTTTTCTATGTTTGACATAGATGTTCAGTTAACCAAGTGGCGCCGCCATCTCAGTCAAGGGCTTACCAGCTACACTTTGATGGTGAATTGGAGTCCACCATTTTCACAGCCAGTAAGGTGGAATGTGCAGATGGCGAGCCTTTGAGGATTTTCTTGTATGATGTTTATTCCAAAACCAGAATAACATCTGGACCCCTGGCTTCTATTAAACTCGGTGTCGTTGTGGTTGATGGTGAATTCACCCGGGATGGTCGAGAGGATTGGACCGAGGTTGAGTTCAGTAATAACATTGTGAATGCAAGAGAAGGAAGAAGGCCATTACTGGCTGGGGATTTGGTGATTCAGTTAAGGAATGGAGTGGGGAACCTTGGAGACATAAATTTCACGGATAATTCTAGCTGGATCAGGAGTAGGAAGTTCCGGTTAGGAGTGAGAGTGGTTAGTAATTCTGGTGTCAGAGAAGGCGTAAGCAAAGCCTTCACTGTGAAAGATCATCGCGGGGAGTGTAAGTTCTACACAACCCCGCTTCCCTTGAATAGCCTGTATCAATGGTATATATATATACACTAATATTTATGTTTTTTGGATATATATGTATAGTGTACAAGAAGCATTACCCGCCATTCTTGAATGATGAAGTATGGCGGCTGGAGAAGATAGCGAAAGACGGTGCATCTCATAGGAAACTTGCTAAGAATGGGATATCTTCAGTGAAAGGCTTACTAAGGATGTATGCCACGAGTCCTTCCATATTGCGCGAGGTTATTGTCTGAACACGTTTTATGATTTACTCCTCGATCGCACTTAAAACCTTTCTGTGATAACTGCAGATACTTGGTTGTGGATCATCGAACAACACCTGGGACAAAATCATACAACATGCCACCACTTGTGTTGTGAACGATAACGAGTGGCACATGTACCGGGTTTCAGAATATGTTGCTCTTGTGTTTAATTCCATCTGGAGTGTCGTGGGAGTAATCCTCGATGGCCAAAATTACCTGCCTGTCGACAAACTTGACAGATCTCAGATGGTTGGTATTCTTATCCTTCGAGCATAATTTGGGTGTTTGTAAATTGCAATAGTTTCTGCTGAATCTAACTAAATGGAACTGTTTTTTTTTATCTGTTGTGAAGACATTTCTGCGGTTATTTAACTGTCCTGACAAAGTTTTGTTATTCCTATGATAGCAAATGGTGGAATGGTTTAAGCAGCAGGCTTATAGAAACGAGGACAATATCGTCCCACTCGAGGACGACTCCATCATTGACAACCAGTCTATGGTGTTCTTGAATCATCAAAATGGCCTTTTGAACAGCCTTTCTTTAAGCCAAGAGGCTTTCGTTTTCCCAGCTGAGCAAGGTACTGGTTAGTATGAATTTTAAATCGATGCACTAAAAACCGAGAGATTGATGTTAATCTAGTGATGGGTTTTTGACAAATACCATGATCTTATATATTTTCTGCAGATCAGCTAGAGATGCAGATGAACTCAACCCATACATCATTCTCAATGCCAATTCCCAGTAGTGAACTGCAACATCTCGACCAATATGGAGATCCGATGCCCGAGACTTCTCATAGAATGCAAGTGTTCAATCCTAACCTTGGAAACAGTCTTGCACTTCATAATTTTACTTGTTTGGAAGATGATTTGGCTTCTGGGGGTTCTTTGGACCCTCTAGATAATCTAACTGCAGGTAATAATAGTGACCATTATCAGTTTGGTTCATCATCTTGGCTAGGAAATGGAGTGCATTTCAATTCAAACCTCGAACCAGTTCATCCCGACTTCTTCTTCCACGTGCCAAGTAGTACTGGAAAACCAAAAGCGCGGTGGTGCAAGATCCGCGCTGTGGTTAAGTGGAAGATGGTGGCTGCTAAAAAGTGGGCTGCATTGTTTGTGTAGATTGTAAACTAGTCAGTTGTCAGTGTAAGCAAAGCACCTAGCTAGCTTGTTCATTACTTCCTGTAACTTAGTGCCACTAAGAGTGTCTGTAATTAGTATGTTTTTAGTATGTTTGGCCCTGACATGGTTGTGCATTTTGGGCACAAGTCCTTGCAAAAAGATGCTGGCTTTGTCTAGTGGCTAGGTATTAATAGCATGTTTGGTTCGCGGAATAGGCCTGGAATTGAATGACATTCTCAAGAATAAGCCTATTCCGTTGTTTGTTAATCCATTTTGTTCTCGAGAATATTGTACCCGGGAATGAGTTATTTCTCCTGCAAGGGGAATAACTCATTACCAAACAATGGAATAGGCATGTTCATAGGAATGTCATTCCATTTTAGGCTTATTCTGTGAACCAAATATGCTGTAAGAGGGTTTGTACTTTAATGGTTTTGGTATGTTTTGCCCTGACATAGTCGTGCATTTAGGGCACAAGTCCTTGCAAAATGATGCTGGCTTTGTATAGTGGCTAGGTACTTGGTCTTATAAGCAGTCTTCATGTTTCCTATGTAAACTTCCATTATTTGTGACTTGTTGATACTCTTGATTCTCATATACACAAGTTGCATGTGCAATCAATATCCGATTTAGTTATTGTTTTAAAAAAATATCTTGAATTCAAGTTATAGGTTTATTAGTGATGAGGACATGGATCTGGGGAGTGTTCATTTTTATTATTAGGAGATAGGGAAGTTTGGAGCAAAATATTAAATGATGGAAGTGCTACTACTCTTATCAATAATGTTTCAGTCCACAACCTCAAACATAACAACACGAGTTCCAAATTACCAAACTACTACACATCCTGTATATTAAAAGGTAGGATGTTATATTTATTCGTGCAAAGGTCGTCGGCATTCAAGTAATGGCTGGAGGGACACGTATGTGGCCAAGAATGAAAGCAATATGGTGTCGTACATTTGTTGAGCAACTCAAAGGCCCTTACACTATAAATATGGTGGCTTTCTTGAACATCTCAATGGCCCCTACACTATAAATATGGTGGCTTTCTTACCCTTTAAAACCATCCCTTGGATCATAACCTCTCCCCCTGGTCCTATGATATGAGTTCTTAACTTTTAACACATACACCTGGATATTATTCTAATCCATTAATTAGAGCTATAGTATTTTTATTTTATTTTTTGAAAGGGGACTATAGTATTCATTATTTATGTATTCTTTATTTATTACTCTGTAATTCCATATATATATATATATATATATATATATATATATATATATATATATATATATATTCTTTGGGCCGTAATTTTGTGCCAGTATCTCAGGCTTTGTACGTACTCTTTTGGACATAGCGCTCTGAGCTAATAATACTACTATTTTCTTACCCTCATTTTGTACTTTCATTCTCAATTTATAGTGAACCCGATTCCAACAAAACCGCCCATTAGATTGCATCACTATTACTTGATTTAAACAACTATAAAGTCTAATTGATTTTTTTGTATTAAAATCCACTATTATAACTCCCAATTGTTGTTTTAAATATAATATAATATAAATATAAAATCACAAATTTATCATATTATTTTATATAATTACAAAAAATATTATTTCAAGTAGTCTATTGCTCCACCTGTTTTGGCAAATTATATTGTGAACCATGATTCACATTATAATGTAGATCATAAATAAATGTACATTTTTAATATATTGAATGTACATTATTTGTGTACATTAATATACTTTTAGTATTCAAATAATATACCTTCAAAAGATAAATCATTAATGTATTAAAAATGTAGCTTTAATATAATAATAATAATAATAATAATAATAATAATAATAATAATAATAATAATAATAATAATAATAATAATAATAATAATAATATTGTTGAATTGCAAGTTTGTCTGCAGGCCTTTAGCTCGTGAAGAACAGTAATAAAGAGTAATAATAACAAGAAGAAGACGAAGAAAGAATAAAGAGTAATAATAACAAGAAGAAGACGAAGAAAGAACAGAGAAAAGTAATTCTTATTATCATCATCCATCTCTGTACAACATTACAATGATATATATAATCTCTATCATAATAGCCTTTTAAGACTCTTACAACATTAGGAATCCTACAGTATTAAGAATTCTATCATCAATATAAAGCCAGAATAATTTTCACATAAAGTTTTACAACACTCCCCCTTGGACATTATTTTGTCATAATCATGCCTCGTTAAAAACTCGCTAGAAAAATCCTGTGGGAAAAACCTAGTCGATAAAACAGTACATGATATATGGATAACCATGTGTTACATTAGTTATATCATTAAAAACCTTACACTAAGAAAACCCAGTGGGAAAAAATTAGTTAAGGGAAAAAGAGTACAACCATAAGCCTTCAAGGCATAATCAGCATAATCTTCAGATTTTGGAGTTTGTCTACCTAAACAATTATTTTGCAACTTTTCCCATTTACATTATTATATTACACTCATGCCTCGTTAAAAACCTCACTAGAAAATCCAGTGGAAAAAAACTAGTTGAGGAAAAGAGTGCATGATGTATGTGTATTCTTGTTTTAGATTAGCTGCCTCATTAAAAACCTTAGATTTAAGAAAAAATTTCGTGGGTGTTCAAAACTCTGTATTTCATACTATTGAACAAGAGGATACATATATTTATACTAGGCTATGCACACTAACTATGGTAAGAATCAATAATATCCCTAAGATATTATACACAATATCCCTAAGATATTATACACACAAATCATATTAAATATACTTCTACCATATAATGTCTAACAGTGGGGAAAAACTTAATTAAGGAAAAGAGTATAGCTGTTAGTCTTCAAGAGTAGGGATGACAATGGGGCGGGGCGGGGTGGGGAGTATACTCCCCATCCCCGTCCCCGCTACCCCGTGCCCATCCTCGTCCCCGTCCCTGTCCTCGACGGGGAATTGAAAATATTCCCCATCCCTGTCCCCACGGAGAATTAGGCGGGGATGGAGATTCCCCATTTCCCGTCAATTTCTAGTCAAAATGTTAAATAATTTGAAATTTTAATAATAAAAAATTTAAAATATAAGTCCTAATTGCAAAAATTAAAATATTAAATATATATATATATATATATATATATATATATATATATATAGGGAAGGGATCCCAGGTGCATTTGTTGTTTCTCGTGCAATTGTGCGGTGGATTAATGTGCGTGAGGTTTATACTTAATGTGCGTGAGTGTTGTGCTTAATGTGCGTGAGCTTTGTGCTTAATGTGCGTGATGTTAATATGCGTGAGTTTTGTACTTAATGTGCCTGACTGTTGTGCTTAATATGCGTGAGATTTGTGCTTAATGTGCGTGAATAGTTCCAGGTTGCTGCTTCTCTGCGAAGCCAAATTCTTCTGTGGACTGATGTTTTCTATATTTTCCAGGTTATTGCTTCTCTGCGAAGCCAAATCTTTTTGTGGACTGATCACAGATGTAGTGCGAGCAGGAGAATGGTTGATCGGTGTCATCGGATGCGTCTTTTGGCTTAATTCTCCGCTGCCGGAGACGACGGTTGCATAGCTACCGTGATGCCGCTCTATACCATGATGAATTGTGGTACGGGAAGCTTGAAGAGGGAAATTAAGAAGGAGAGATGGCAGTGAGAAAGTAAGAGCAGTGTATCTTCATTATTGAGGAGTAACTGAACTTTTCTGCTGCATTTTACACATTCACGCACATTAAGTACAAATCTCAGGCACATTAGACACAACACTCACGCACATTGAGTACAAATCTCATGCACATTAATAATCGCACAACCGCACGGAAACCTTTCACTATATATATATATATATATATATATATATATATATATATATATATATATATATATATATATATATATATATATATATATATATATATATATATATATATATATTCTGGGACGGGGAGGGGTGTCCCCGTCCTCGTCCCTGTCCTCCGAAAATCTTCCCCATTTTCGTCTCTTTCGGGGCGAAGATTGGGGATCCCTACCGGGGACGGGGCACATTGCCATTCCTATTCAAGACCCAATCTTCAGGATTGATTCATGAAAATGATATTCTCCCTCAAGATAACAACCTTTAAGTTCCATACATTAAATTTTCAAAATGTATAGGGGAATTTTGAAAATAAACATGTACAACTGTCAATGGAATAAATATACTCTATAATAATCTCATGACAACTGGAGCTCACGTGGGTATAATATTAACATCATAATATCTAGTCAAAAAGGATTTCATTATATCTCCTTCAATTATTTGTGCAACACAATCTTTATTGTCCCTTTGTTGGACAATAGGACAAAAGGGGTAAATATAGCACAACCAGTTTTGGAACTTGGTATTATGGGGATACAAAAATAATAGTCAGTACCCAAGTAGCCCATTATATATTGGCTTGTCTAATTATCCAATCAAAATCATATATTGGCTAACTGGTGTATAATAAATTCTTCAAGGAAAAACTCAGTCTTCAAGTCGATATAATACTTAGGGGCCGTTTACTAACTGGAAATATCTGGAAAATAGAAAACAAAAAACATGTTTACTAACACAGTTTTCCATTTTGAAAACTGAAAACAATTTCTGAAAATTTCTGGAAAACTGGAACGCACTTAAAAATTGTTTTCGAAATGGAAAATAAAATCATCTATCATTTATTTAGTTATCTGTCACTATTGTAAAACCCCGTGTTACGGCCTTCAAATCCGGATTAATTATGGAATTAATTCCATTAATATATAATTAAAAAGAATTTAATTGGACTAGAATTCCTTTAATTAATTGATATGATTCACAATGGAACATGGACCCTTATCCCTAGCACAGCTTTAATCCCGTCGAGAATAGGAAAAGTGGGCCTTTACTATTCAGATTCTAGCTAGGATTCCTGGATATATATATATATATATATATATATATATATATATATATATATATATATATATATATATATATATATATATATATATATATACGGGATTAAAAAGCATTTAGAAACCCTTCCACGAATAGCTCTGCCACCCGAAATATTCTCTCAGGTAATCTAGCAAAGGAATTCCCTCTACCGAGCCTAGGGAGAATCAATTGGAAGGAGACCTTAGGGAAGAACCTTAGTAGCCAAGGGAATTTGATTAAGTGCTAAGAGGTAACCCATGTCTTACAAAACCTATTTTCCTCGCTATTGTTTATTGATTGGCTCCGATTGAATGATTGATTGTGTGGTTTCGTATGTATATCTTGTTAGAGCTTGTCTTTAGGTTTATACGATGAATTCTTGTTATTCTTGCTGTTCTTGATGGCCCTGTGTGGTTATTGATATGATCTTGTATTTAATTAAGTCTAGAGCTTGTCCCTAGGGTTTATATCGTGAATCTCGTGTTGTGATGTTCTTGGTATTCTTGGGTGGGTTTATGCATGCTCGAGTGTTGATTCTAGTCTAGG